CCGCCAATTATTTCACCCCGAAAAATTTTTTTATTTTTTTTTTTCAAATTTTTTTTTTTAAAAATCCGAAAAAAAAAAAAAAAAAAAAAAAAAAAACACAAATAGTGATTCGATAATAACATAGTACGGGTATTTATTTATTTTTTTTAAACATTACAGTATGTGAAACCAATAGCTACAAATGTAGCAGTTTATGTGAATGGACAAACTCTCAGTGTCAAATAATCTGGACAAGTCTCCATTAGCTGCAGTTTGTCTTAAACTTGGGTGAAAAGGGAGATTGGCAACTTTTAGGTCAAGGACGCATCAAATTCAGCCTTTTCTCACCAATTCACTGATGTGTGATAATCTACAGTTGACGGGATTCAAGTGTCTTGAAAACGGTGCAGAATCAGATTCAGTCACCCACATTTATTTACTCATAAACACAACCATACAGCACATTAGGGCTCAAACAATTAAATGGATTAATCGTGATTAATCAATTATTGAAGTAATCGTCAACTAATTTAGCAGATTCATCATTAACTGGAGGATACACATTAAAAAGGTAATTTGGTGGAAAAAAGAAACTAGTAATCAAGCCAAAACTGTAGAAGATATAGACATATAAAAACATACATTTTGCACTTTTGTCTGTAAATATGTTTTGGCCAAAACTCCTCAACTGGTGTAGTTTTAGCTCAGTAGTAAAGGAATTACATTGTATAGCAGTTTAAGCAATAAAATGTTTATTTTTTTGTAATTAGAAAAGGAATTAAATAGTTTATTTGCATCTTTTAATGCATTTATAATATTGCATAAAAAGGCTCAAGCTGTTAATTGAAAAATTTGTAGAATGTGCCATTTTTTTTATCCAATTAATCAATTAACTGTCAGAATCGATTACTAAAATAATTAAGTCTTTCAAGGCACACAGAGTTAAGTTAAATAGTTCCAGAAACACTAGATTTCAAATAAAGTTTAGTCTTATTTGGGCAGAAGCTGAGCTTATATAAAAGCTCCCATTGCATTGCATTGCATCCCATGGCAACTTAGGGGAAAAAAAAAAAAAAAAAAAAAAAAATGCAATCTCACAATGTGTTAACCATGACGAGGGAATACGTTAATTGAAAGCACAGACATAAACGTGCAATCACATTCACTGACTACAATCGAAAGACGTTTGAATAACCGCTTCATATGGCTTTCAAGGTGAGATTAACGGCACACAGGGCCTGCGGGGTTTTCTATTAGATCACATCATAGAGGGAGCAACAGGTGCTGCTGCGCTGCACAAAGGCAGAGGAAACACCAGCAGCAGCACTCAAGGACAACAGGATAAAAAAGAACAGCACAAATAAAAGAGGAGTAACTGAGAAGGAGGCAGGCAGGTGGGTGGTAGGGAGACACTTTCATCTCTCTGAGCTGTAGTGCTCACTTTCCCTCTGCGTTTCATCAGCTCTCTCTCTCTTTTCCTTTCTCTCTCTCTCCCCCCTGTGTGGCTGTAGCCTCGCTCGCTTGCTCTCTCTCTCCGTCTGTATATATTTATCTCTCCCTCCCAGTGCAACTCTCCTCCTACACTCAGTAGCAGTGGTGCCTCTGGGAAACACTGTATGCCTTTAAATCACATTTATTGAGCTAAGGCCATGTGTGTGTTTTCTCGTAGCGGCTGCCAACATTTCTGGTGGGGCTTCCCTTTCTCTCTCTCTCTCTCTCTCTCGAAGCTCAGTCAGCTGATGTGGTTTGGCCGGCTGGCCGGCCGGCCGGCCTCCGTCTGACTGTTACTAATAACGAAAACGCTGAGCGGCTCGCCCCAGCACTCTCTGCCCAACACCTGCGTTCGCTGGCTGAGGGGGCCGAATACGGTCCGAAACACGTGGAAGCAGTCAATGGACTCACACGGGTCTATTTTTTTTTACCAACGATAGCTACCACGTGTTAGCTGTTGCAGACTGGAAGGCCTACAGACAGAAGATTTCAAAGCTGTAAAAATGGGTGTACCACAAGGTTCCGATTTGGGGCCACTGATGTTGCGTTTGTAATATCAACAATCTGCCTAAAAGCTGTAAAGACGTTCAGTGTCAAATCTATGCAGATGACGCTGTCGTAACATAAATAATGTGATTGTAAAGACTCAACATGACAGCAGGTGGTGGAGCTCTAGAGCAGATAAAAGATGGGAGTAATTATAAGACTTTTATTGCTAAAGTTTAAGCTTAGGGGTGGCAATCAATATTATAATCTGAATATTCAATACAATTTTAGCAATTTTATGTTTCATTTCAACCTGATGCTGTGGAGCCGTCAAAGTTGAAGGATTACGATCCAGAGCGACCGCAAAGTGTCTCACAATCAAACATGTAGTCGGTGTTTGTACTACTGTTCCTGATCAGAGTAAATAAAAAAAAAAGTACATGACTTCAAATATTTAGTTGCTGTTTGAGATTCCCAATGTAACATTAAAGTTCATAAGAAAAACCATAAACTACGAAAAGCTCTAAGGGTTTTGGAGAGGCAGCGAATGGAAACATTGTGAAATCAAGAAAAAGAAAAAAGGTGTGATATTTTGAGTGTTGTTGTTTTATTTATAAATCGACTTTTAAATGTGTTAATGGACGTGTTCCAGAAGTAGTTGGAAACCGACCAGTGGCCGTGACAATGGAGATTGTAATGCAAAATATCTATTTAACTTTTAGCATTTAGAAAGAGATATTAGATTTAGATTTATTCAGCACCAGTAATGGAAAAATGAATAGATTTCAGACAATTTTCAGCAGCTAAATTTCTACACTGGCAATTAAAAATTAAACGAAAAAGAAAAAAAAAAGGCTCTTTCAGGGCATTGTTTGGCATTTAACCGGCCCTTAATCATCCTCACTATAAAGAACCCTAGGTAAAGTTTAAACTCAGATATAAAGTTGACCAGAAATCAAAAGAGTAGTGAGAGGAGCCTTCTCTCTATTTTTAAATAACTCATATATTTTTTTTTCTTACACAAAATTATGCAGACATGGAAAATGATTCCTTCATTTTTCAGACATAAGAACCGGGTTTTAAGTTCTCTCTCTATGATTAAGTAAATTCTGCATTTACGTTCCGGGTCCATATGTGCACGAGCGCCATCATAATTTATGTAACCAGATAACATAGGGACAGAAACTATACTGTGTACTTAACAGGTTGCAGAGATTGACATCTCGATGACTAATTAGCAAACCGAGAGTGTAAGCACTTATGTGAAAATTTTAATAAATCACGCAGTGATTTAAAAAAGGACTGAAGGGGAGCGTGGCGGTGAATTCTTTCCTTCTTTATAAACACCTGACAACAATCAGAAAAGATTTAAGGTAACGGCAACGAAAGAAGTGGTGCGACGTGAGTCAGTCGTCCACTCTTTGCTGAAGGGGTGTGCAAAAGCAGAGACCGTACAGGCAGCATGCAACAAAGCTTTACAGTGATGCACCACAAGGGCAAAAGGCCGGGTCTATACATTGGCGCTTTTGGGAAGTTCCGTTTTAGAAACAGCCGCAGATGTTCTGCTTTTAACGGCGACATCTACAAAAGGCTGTAAGCAGACATCTTTAATGCCTGAAAACCGAAAACAACAACGGGTAACGCACAACGATAACAGGCTAAGGCTGAAAGAATGGAAAGAATGAAGAAGTGGGGAGTTTAGGCTTACCAGCAAAGCACAGCAGAGATATATATAAATATATATATATGTTCCTGAACAACTGCTTTCTCACAGTCAAAAGGCGAATAAAAAAAATAAAAAATGAACTGCGCTCTCAGCTGAGGTGAGAGTGGATTGTCTATATGACCTCCTTTCTGATCAAGGGGTCCTGCTGTCGTCAGCACTTTCGTTCCATAGTGGAGCATTAATTATTGGCTGTAAGCAGATGCAAGTCGGACATATATTGCACACCCTTAATTTGTCCAACTCGCAGTTCGCTCTCGGTCCGACCATCTTCATGTGGAAGTAATCGGATTAACATTTCAGCTCAATGACTGGCTGCACAACTAAACTTTTCTGCTTCCTTTGCTGTTCCATAGATAGAAATTTGGCTGACAGTGACTGGGCTGACAGGCAGCTTACAGGCTGACTGGCTGAGTGAGTGTTTGTTTTCTTGCTGAATGACCGAGACCTTGTGGGACGTGAGGAATTTATGAGCTGGCAATATGCCAAGAGAGCGAAAGAGAGAGAGAGAGGGAGAGAAAGAGAGAGAGGCTAAGGAGTGAAGAGTGGAAGTGGAAAATAGAGCAGAGGAAAGGAGGAACACAGGGAGTTTTGCTTGGCTGGAGTCAAAGGAAGGAGAGGGTTTTCTTCCCCCCCCCTTTCCACCTCTTTTTTTTTTTTTTTAGGCTAGAGGGAGCGTGGCAAACCACACACACAGCTGGAAATCCACGCTCAAGAGAAAAAGGGAACAGAACAAAGACTGGAAAAGAGAGGAAGAAAGGCCCTGAAAAAAAGAGGACAAGAACCCAGAAGCTTAAAAAAAAAAAGAAGAAAAGAAAGAAAAACAGAGGGGTTTTAGTGTGCTTTACCTCGTTGTTGATATCAAACACGCCCTCCTGGATCTTCTCATAGATCTCCTTGGCTGTGTTGATGAAAGCCTGAGATGGAGACAGGAAGAGAGACAGATGAAGCGGAGAGATTTGATTCATATTTGCGCGCAGAAATAAGCCCGCACAGCTCTTTGGGAATTTTCTTTTTAAACATGGTTGCCTTACAAAATTATTTGCTGGGCGTTTCAGTAGCTAGCAAGCGGGTGTTAATTTCACCATTCTTGACTTCTGATTTGTGCCAGGTTTTTGCTTTTTATTATCTTTACAGTAAAGCCACCCTTTTACAACGGAATGTGTAAACTGCTTTGCTGAACATTTCATCCGGGTGTGGCAACTGTCCGTAAAGTAATGCAGACTTCCTGGTTAGCTGCTGAACATTCACGAGCTATGCATGTGGAAAAACACACCCTGCAGACAACAATAAACCTCAACCGGTGTTGTGAGAGCACATGCATGTGTTGTTGATGTTTGTGTATGTGCGTGCGTGCGCTCTGAGCCTTTTCATTTGCACTCATCAGATTACAGAAAACTTTTCATAAGGCCACAAAATGACTGGCATTGTTTTCCTCAGATAATAGCTTCAAAAACGAGAAGAGTGGGAAAACTTTTTGGATAAAAAAATATAAATAAAAATAACAGAATTACCTGCATCCTTCTAAAGTCCAGTAAAATATAGTTGTAAGAAGCTCAAATGGGAAAAATGTGATTTTAATAAAGGACAGATCCACAACTTTTCTAGAAACTATTCAAAAAAAGAGATAAAACAATCATGCTTAGTATGCAGTGAAGCAACAAATGGTTGTGCTAGCTTAGTAAGAAGACCGAAGGTAAGTAGAAACAGATGCGGGTCATTTCGCACTTCCGCCGTTTTGTAGCCTTCTAGCTCTGGTCAATTCGCACCAAAGCCGTTCCAGGTAAACAGCCCCAGTCACCGGACATTTTCTACTGATCCTGCCTCAATCTGTGTTCCCCTTGGAGATGTGCTGCACCCAGTTATACAATTAAAATTTTAAACTGACCTCCTATAATTGGTTGATAGCCTACTGTAAAAAAGAAAATTTAGTTTTATGAATCCGATAAGTGTCATCTACAAGTGGGGTGTCACTCTGAGGTTTTTGGTTTGAACAGGAGTCATAATCAACCTTGTGTCATAATCACATGTTCAGTAAAAAAATTACTATTAAGAATCACAAATCTAGAAAATAAATAAAAAAAAAACATCTGCAAAGGTTTAAATACTTGGAAACAGAAGAATTAGCAAAGGAGGCAAATTAATCTGGAGTCATAAAAACACCAACAACTGCTGCAATTACATCTAGTTGGTTTAATGGACTCCAATTAGTTCCCATTATTGAAATAGGCTAATTTGTCCTTAATGTGGATGCAAGTCTTTTACAAGGCACGCGAGAAAAAGTCTTGTTGAGCAAGTACACTGCATTAAAAACAAAAACAAACTTTAAAGTCAGCAAAACTAAAGCAGATCATCAAGGAATTATTTTATTTCACCATCTTTGAAAGTCTTTTGGAGGCTCTGAGCGTGAAGACACGTGCTGTCACGCCTATAAAGTACATCTATAACTTTATATGTGCCACCATTTTGTAGGGTCTTTTACTGCGTCTGGATGGATAATGGTACTTTTTTCCTAAGACATCAGTGTCTTTCCTCCTATGCTTTTACTTTCCATACTTAACCATGACAACCTGAGGGGGAAGGCTGTGCCCCCATGTGGTCAAATGACTAGCTGAATTATTCAAAACGCAGGTTGGACTGCTGTCAGCTATAGCCACTTCAAGCACACAGCATGCAGAGGTGAGTAAATCTTCATGTGTATAGACAGAAAATATGAATAGCATAGCAGGAGGTTACGTAATGCCAGGATTAATATTAATAATAATTACCAGCTGAGGCAATTTCATAGCAGTGGTAGATGTGTGCGGTTTACATGCAGAGTTGTCAAGCAATTATTTTATAAGTCCCAAAAATATGTGGCAGTGAACATATTAGCTTTGGAGATATTTACTAAAAGAGATAAATCTTTCATATGTCAACGCTAGCTGGGCTTCTGCCAAAAATAAACAGTTGCGTTGTGTAAAATGTGTTCTCATAGGAGGCAGAATACAGCTAATCAGAAGACGGGGACTTTTTAAAACACTCGTCTGTTTCATCTCGTGCTTATGAAGGATGTTTGTAAGGATTTTACCAGCACAAGACGTCAATTCAATTTTAAAGTATAGCATTTCTTAATGGATGCTATTCAAGCGTCTCCAAGGCTCTTAGAAGTTTAGGTATTATGAAGGAGGATCTTGTTAGAGAATACAGTTGGGCGTTTGTGTAGATCAGGAGTAAAAATCGAGCATGGATTAGCACAGAATCCGTCTTTCTTTTACACACACACACACACACACACACACACACACACACACACACACACACACACACACACACACACACACACACTTACAAACAACTCAGAGGATCAAAGTTGATTCAATAAAGTGGAATTAAAGATCCCAGAGAGACTGCCCTATGACTACAGGTATCGATGCTTCTGTCTCCAGGGAAGTATCTTATGAGTTACGATTGGAGGATTTCAACTGGAGAGCAATAACTGGGATAAACTACCTGAGCGACTTCAGCTGCGATCCCACACTATGAGGCTTGCAGACTGTTTCACTGAGCACATATGTAACATGCAAAACCAAAAAAAAAAAAAAAAAAAAAACTGTGCTGAGGAACGAAAAATGTGTTCTGAACTCCTCTCTGGCACCTGTCAAAAATAGACTGAGCCCAAGGGTGCTCTCTACTCCGTGATGTCCTGCTCCCTCCTGCGCTCCTTCCTTCCCTCCTCACATCACTACACCTCTTGTTCCTTCGTATCTCTCTACCGTGGAGTGATGGCGAGGTGAGACGAGGGTTAAACTAAGAACTAATAAGAAAATACTCTACAGAAGAAATAAGCACAGGAGAAGAGAGAAATGAAGAGCGAGAGGGGAAGTGGGCAGTGGTTGGTGAGAGGATTTTTATGAAGGATTTAGGAGAGGGCAGGGAGATGAGACGATGAAAGCATGCTCGCAGGATCTCTTCGTCTGTCTCTAAAGACCATCCCATCAACCCCAGTGTCCACCCACAGACCCTGACGACAAACTCTGCACACTGATTGGCTGCTGGATGTCGCTGAGGAAAGGTGGGGTGGAAGTTATGAATATGTATGAACTTTAACTGGTTGATATACTGCTGGAAAATAGGAGGAGAGATGATGGGGGAAGGAAGGAAGGAGGAAGAAATGAATGGAAGAGGGCAGGAAGACATAAATGAGGAAAGGACGGAAGCTGCGCCGGAGGTGGGGAGGGGACGGGAGAGGGGGATGGCAAAAAAAAAAGAAAAAGAAAAAGCGATGACGAGTGGGAAAGGGGAGGTGAAGTAGGAGAGGTAAAGAGCAAATGATGGACGTCGAGGGATGAGGAGGGATGGAGTGAGGAGAGATGAAGGGAAGGGAGGAGAGGAGAGGCATCAGGAGGATTCAGAGGACACTAATGAGACAAATTAATCATACCACACACACACACACAAACCCTTCCCCCCAAATCTTAACCCCAGAAGAGCGCAGCTCAACAGTGTTGTGGGTGTGAGCGTTTGTATGATATAGACTGGTCAAGAGAAGGTTGGAGAGGGATGGGGGAAAAAAAAAATCTAAGTAAAGACACAGAGAAAGAGTGTGTGTGTGTGTGTGTGTGTGTTGTGTGTTGTGTGTGTGTGTTGTGCCTCTGGGTGGCATGCTGTGCTGTGTAGGATGGGATTAGTTATGTGATTGGATAAGTGAGAAGGGGGTCCCAGAGGAGCAGGCCTCGCATTCACTGCAACACCACCAGGGGTGTGTCTGTATGCAGGGCGGAGCCGTGCATTCAGCGTGCTAACCGCAGTTCAAAACGTTAACGTGATCCATGCAGGGTTAGGCTCCATCACTGTCACCCACCCTTCTGCAGCTCTAAAACATGGACTTCGACTAAATGTGCAACGATCAAATGGCAGATCAATCCTATAAAGGACAGAACATTAAATGCAACGAATCGTCGCATCTAAAACTTATTTTTATCACACTCATTTGAGGTAGAGATGCACCAATCAATCAGCCAGAGATATAATCTGCCAATTTCACCTTGATCAGTGGTTGGGAGATCTAAATCTCCCCTCCTGCCCCCCTGTTTATTAAACACAGGAAAACTAATAGCGACTTCTATTTTTGTCTATAATTCAGTCAAAATAATGTACTTCGGTACACTTTTCAGTATAACACACATTGGAGAAAGAATAAGGTAACATGGTATGCTTTAATGGATGAATAGGGATAAATGATCATCAAAATCCAAATTGGAATCTGAAAATAAAGTATCTGAATCCATAATCAAACCATGTATATTAAAATGCGTTTGACAAGCCATTATTTGCTCCAAATAGTTTTTATAGTTCAATGGAGAGAAGATGTTTTCATCCAGATGGTTAAAGGAGCATTTAGGGATTTCAGATTTGCCTTATTTCTGTGACCTGGTTATATATCTACCTAGTAGAAGCACAACCAAAGGGCACAGTCAAAACAGCCTACCTCTGGGACCATGCTACTTTTTTCAAATACTGTCTCAACGATTGTCTAAAAACGAGAATATATGCAAAAACTAAAACAATGGGTAATTTGACTCGATTAGACATTTCAGAAAACATAACCCTTAATGTGCTAATACCCAGTAGTTAATGTCACGCCAACAGTTTTCCATCCCCAACCAAACCAACCACAAGAGGGTTTGATGACCGATTAAAAAAAATATATATTTTTAAAAAATCAGAGCCATTTTTACAGATTTACTCCAAGTCTTCAGAGAAATCCTTCAATAAGTGCTCTCTGCTGCAAACAAACAGAGCTCTAATTCCAGCTACAGATGTCAACAGGCAGCACCAACAACTGTGAAAGAACAGATAATGGCTGTGAAATTGTGGTGTGGCCTGAGATTTATTTGTCTGCAGGGAAAAGGGCTGTTTGGCATTAGCGTTGACCTGTATGGAGCGGCGTATATTTCACGATGACAGGTGGTGTTTAAAGCCGTTCCGAACTCAGGTTCAGGTAAGCTGGTAACCTTAATCCAGTCATTACAGCGGCCATCACCAATTGCTAGTGAGCGTGTGTAATTACCTCCTCTACATTAGAGGCAGTCTTGGCTGAGGTCTCCATAAATATGAGGCCGTGTTCTCTGGCGAAAGCTTCACCTTCCTCTTTTTTCACCTCTCTCCTCGACTCAAGATCGCTGCAAAAACAAGCAAACAACGAATTCAGGTAAAAATCATCCTAAAATAGCTAATTTTTTTTTAAAGCTATATTTACCCCTAAAATTTCTACCATGAACAAATTACTCATTCGCCTAGAAATTCCCAAAATTTTGTCATGCTGCAACCACACGGAGCGCAATTTACTTACTAAGCAGTGCATATTGTGAAGTGGACAGCAAACGAGATATTTTTTTTGGTTTGTTTGTTTTACAAATAAAAATCTGAAAGGTGTGGTGTGCATTTGTATTCATTTGGACATTTCTTTACACTGAGGTGGTGCTGATAAAGTGCTCTCAGACTTTTGATTTAAAAACAACTTTCTTACAGTTGTGTGCTTTGTTTTTAGCTGACTGATATCGCAATGCAAGCTTAATGATGAAAATAATGGATATTTTCCACTTAGAGTATCATGAAACCTCCAGAAAAGTCAACAACTTTACCAGTTTATGTCTAGAGCAAAAGTGAAATCTCACATTCAAATTTTCCTGGCAGCTCTCTTGATTTAACCTCACCTCACATAGTGTTAAATCAAAAATACTGGAGTATAGAGAGAAAAAAAAATACAGCAAAAATACAATTGAATGCCAAACCTCAGAGTTTGCTTTAAGACATTGAACCTTCTTACTGTGCACATTTTAGTCTAGACACACCTGTAAGAGGAGAGTGCTTGGCCAACAGAATACGAAGCCAATCCTTTTCACAATAGAATATTTTCAAGCGTTGGTGATTGCTGCCACACATTGCTGATGGTCCAGCCTTAAGTAGGCCAGCATGTACTCTTCACTGTGGAAGAAAGGAATAACTCTACCTCTTGTTGCCAATGAGCATGATGACCATATTGGAGTTGGAATGTTGGCGGGCGTCCTCTAACCAGGTCGTCAAGTGGTTGAAGGTGTCCCTTCTGTTGAGCAAGCACAGATTTTTGGGTTTTTCTCTGACTGCACTGTGAAACTGGAAACATAACAGATCAACAATCTGTTGTTGCATATATATATATACACACACACGCACGCACACACACACACAGACCCCAATTTAAGAAGTGACAGATATTACTTTCTCTTGAAAACTGTTAGGCGATGTATCACTTCCTCTTTTATTGCTTGAAACATTTAAGAGAAAGAAAAGGCTCATCTTGTCGTCATCTGATGGCTTAAATAGAAACATTTAAACTGTCTTCTGTCTAATTTGACATCGGGTTCCCCTTAGAAACTACTGCTTCGATGTTTCTGATACCAGGCATATGTGAACAGTTATGCAGGAAGTTTATTGCATTAGACCATTATTGCATTGCACCAGAACATGCATCAGCAGTTGTTCCTTCCTATTCGAAGGCTTTTACATGTTCTGCACGGTGCAAACAAAAAACAGGAAATTAAAGACAAGAGCTTGATGTGCAGCGAAGATTGTTCTTAAGGATCTTTTTTTGTTTTTAAAAACCGTAAAAATAATAAAAAAAAAAACAGTAAAAGGAGTTTTTTTTTTAGATTATGTATTTTTGTTGACATGATCTTTGACCTCTAGATGTTCTTTAGCTGCATTTAGAGAGGCTACAACAGAACATTATAAAACAAATTAAACCTTCACATCTTTTCATAGTACTACTTTTTAAGATAGCTTTTTGTTCATTTTTGAGGTTTTATCCATTTTCTAAGTTTGCTGGAAAATAATCCACTAATTGTTTCATCTCAGTTGAAAGAGCAACACTTGAACATTAAACATTCTTTGAAAAATTCCTAAGAATGTGGATTTACCAGCAGATTCAGAGAACCAACCTGTTCTGGTGGCGTTAAGACTGAACTACTGCAGATTGTCACACAATGTTCCTCAGGGCTGCATTCTTTACCTTGTCCTTTTCATAAATAGGATGTCCGGGGGGCACAGTTCTAACGAGTGAAATTATGTTATTTTCTCCTTTTACTTTGCATATAATATTTAGCTACATGAATCTATATTAAAAAAACCCCGGCTATGTTATGGACTTATGTCGATTAAATTTAGGCTGATTGTGTTAAAACAGACCTGAACTAGACCTGTATGGCTTGTGAAATTGCTTGAGATGGCATTTGTCATGAATTGGGTCAACAAAAAAAAAAAAAAACCTAGTTTCATTAAACTAAATAGAGATTATATCCAAGAAATAAAGTCTGGGTTGGCTCTTAAACCATTAATACTGAAAAGGAAAGGTAGAAAAAGGAGTAATATTCAGTTTATTTATATTGAAAAAAAATTTCCATCATTTGTATTTAGAGTTTCAAATAAAATAGCTCAATACACCAAGTAGCCATCAAATTTATATGTCCTCCACTATTGAAAAAGGCACAATTTTTATCCATCTTTAATCATTTGTTTTTCACTTCAAGTCCAAAATGGGTTTATCTCAAACTAATGGCAAAAGCCCACGTTGCCGACAGGATAGAGAGGCAGCGAAAACAAGAGGCCGGGATCATAACATTGCTCAACAGAAAGTCGTATGACTCATTTCATGCATTTAGATAAGGTGCTGTAGATGTTCACCAAACATAAAGTTGAGCAGCAGCAGCCAGTTCAGACATGTTTGCAATAGCAGCAGGGTGGGGAGAACTCGATGGTATAACAAATTGAGTACAAGTAGAAGGCTGTAGGAGAAAAAAAAAAAAAGATTTCAGGAAGGAAGAAAGGTATCTGTGTTGCCACGCTTGCAGTCACGTTTTTTTTTTTTTTTTTACTACTGAGATGCAGGCTAGTGTAAGCTTATCTGAACATGCATTTCATTCCTTTTTCATGCATCACAGAAAAAGGCTATTATTTAAAGCTGACTTCCAGTATATAGGTCTTGTGCTGAGAGATGGAAGAACAAGCCTTTTCAGTGTTCCTGAATGCATCCTAATTGTGCACGATTGGCTGGGTTACCTTGTGATGTCATAGACTAGCAGTGCTCCGGCTGCTCCTCTGTAGTAAGACCTGGTGATGGACCGGAACGACTCCTGGCCGGCCTGCACACACATACGAACATGTTAGCTAACCAGATAGAAAATAAAACACTAAACGCCGAAAACACCCGCATTTGCTAATGTTCTGCTTTGTTGACTGGGCTGAAAACGCGTCTCTGATTAATCACATTTAACTTAATGGCGAAATTTGTTTGGGACTCCCTGCGTAAAGTCCAGCTCCAGGTTTTCAGGCACTGAGGAAGACAGAGCGGAGCCTGTAACTGGATACAATGGAGATCTGTCTTTCACTCTCCATACACCCGTCACGGAGTCACTACTTTCTCTCTGCGAGCACGTAGAACCTTCCAGTTTCTCAATTTATGCTAAACAAAGGAGGTCACATAGCGCAGGCTGCAGCGCTGAAGAGTTTCGGATCAGACGTGTAGCCATCATGTCATTCTTGACAGCCCATCCTGCTCAGAGTCACCTTGTACTTTCACTTCCTCTTCCATTATTCCCCTCTCATTGTTTCACCTCTCCTTTGTCTTCCTGCTGTCCCTCATCTTTTCTATGAATCTTCCCTCTTTCCATCCCTCTTGTCACTATCCAGCATTCTTACTAGCTATCCACCCACCCCCCATTCCAAAGTCTATTCATTCTTTGGCTCCGTTCAGTTGTACATTAACAATGTTGTCTGTGTTCGTCCGGGCCACGGAGGAAAACAAAACGGCACTCTATCCCAGCAGCTGCGAGTCCTGCTCTGCTCTGACCTCATCTGAAAAGCCAGACAGACACACAGGCAGCAACACCAAGTCAATGAATCATTCAGCAAGTCAGAGCACCAGGCAGCTAGTTTTGTCTCCCAGAAACACAGGGAGGTTGAGGGGGGGAGGAGGGATTTGGAGTCGGTCACCTAACCAGCTAGCAAGAAAGCGATGAAAATGCTCGGCTTTCGAACAAAACGTCAAACTAGCTGGTTGATGAAGAGTCGGTAAGTTATTCAGAGGGCAGTCAACCAGCCTGTGATGCCATTAGTGAATAAATGATAAATAAGAGTGTAAGAGAGGGAACACTGTGTCTGTCTGCCATCTGGCCAACAGGCTTTTGTGCAGAAACACACACACACTTATTCATATGGCAAGTGCAGCCCACACAATCATCCAAATGGCTTCTGTGTTCGCGTTCTGGTGACGGTGTATGATTGCAGAAGGCGAGCCTGGCCGGGTTTCAGTTCGGCCTTCACTGCTCCGTACCTGGATGGGCCAGGTGAACAGTAGTCGTTGTCTAGCAAGAACCAAACATGCAGGACTGAGACACCAGAGGAGCTGGGACAGACACATTGCAGGCCGTTTCGCTCTGGTAGTGTCACTGTTGATTTTTAAAATTTTGTTTTAAATGGAGTTCTAACTCCACCTGCTGGTCGACTGTTTTATTGCATGTAAAAAAAGCACTTTCTTTTTAAGGCACTTTTCTTTTTGTACTTTTTATGATACACTGCCCCTACATGCCTTGGCTCAGAACAGCTCAGGAAGCTTTAAAGAGGTGCTTACAGCAGTCAGGAAGACATTAACCCCTTAGCTCCTTCACAGTTAACATTTTTCTCATGAATGGGCGAGGGGGGTGACAACTAAAACGGAAAACCTGCAAATCACAGCAGCCCTTAGTATTCACCATTATCCTACAGAGTAGTATTAATATTCACACTGGTGTTTTAAATTAGAACTATCCAACCCTACTTCCTCTTAAGTGAAAACATCAAATTAAAGAGTATTTAGTGGCTAAAAGCCTTAGCTTGTACAATGTGTTAGCATGTTATGGCTTAACACCACATTCTGAATTTTATTTCTCTCTTAACTCGTAAATCTCGAGGAAAGCAGTTTGAGTCCAGTACTTATTAAGAAAAAAATCAATACAAATGTATAGACTGTCAAAAAGGTTCAGAATGACCGCAGCACGTGTGACCACTGGACACATTAGCTTCCTGGAGGTTTTAGCTAGCAGGGTACAGTAACAAATACACTGGCAGGACTTTGTCATCTTCGGAAGTTGCCAACCAAAGTTATGTGGCTTTAAACTGGATTCAGGACCAACAACAAAACAGGAAGCGAAAACCAGCAGCATTATACGTTATATATTCAACCAAAACATTAAAGCAAAATTCACTGAGGTCACCTGGTGACTTGAATCTACTAAATTCCAAACAGGTCAACTCAATTTATGTGGAAAGAGGGCCCAAAAGCTAAACAGTTTCAAAAGCAGTGAGGTGTTTAAATTGAAGTCAGATGAAGCCCAGAGATGTAAGAAGCCATTTGAAATTGGATTGAAATTGTATTTTCTATGGTATGTCTGCAGCTTCAAGGTAGAGCTAAACCTTCAGTAGATTACAAACATTTTAATGGAGTTCAGCAAAGCTTCTCCATTCGGCCCTTTGCTTCGCTCAGTCTCTTTCTATAAAGAGATATGCTGAAGGTGGAAATGTTGGCAGTCTGCTGGAAATCGCAGAATTAAACTAAATTCTATAGAAATACACATTACTACAGAGCTTTTCATAATGCTAGCTATGCTAACTGCTGTTTATGATACTGGATGAAGATACAAAAAATTATTTACAAAGAAACTCATAGCATCAAAGCCAGACACTGTCAGCTAGAAGTAACAATATTACATATAATTCTTTACTATTCAAAAGTTATAAAATATATATTTATCTACAAATAGAAGCCTGAAGGAAGACATTACCATCATATTTAACACCTAATTTAAGAGATTTTTAAAGCAGCCTTGCAGCTTACTATTATATCTGCACACTGCTTTAGAGCAGCCTTTATGTGAAGCAACAACAAGTGGAAATGGAACCGCAGCCAATAGATTATTTACCGTATCCCAGATTTGCAATTTGATCTGTTTGCCATCTATAGTGATCATCCTTGCGCCGAACTCCACACCTAAACGGATAAAAAAAAACAGAGGAATAAGAACTGAGCACGCTCTGATAAAGACTTGTTTAAAACCTTCTGATTAATTAATCAACTGCATGCATTTATAAATTATTTAAAAGGTTTATACATGATCAACACAGAAAGACTAAAAAAAGTTCATGTGTCATATGGAACAAATGGAGAAGACAGAAAAAAACTAATTCTGACACAAATGACTAAAAGTGCTTTTTCTGCATATAGTGAAGCAGAACTCTTGCTGTTCATGCACATATACCTGACACGTCTAAATACTTTTCTTCAGATGTCAGATAAAGTAAAACGTCTTTATTCAGAATGGTTTGAACTGCTTTTATTCAAACGTTGTCCTTTTCATGCCACACCCAATTCATGCTAAATAAATAAATAATGGGACCGACCCAGCCCAGAACTGATCATACGAAAAATCTATTTGCATAGGAGGGGCAGACTCTTTATGAAAAAGGAGCCGTGGTTCCCGGGCTTATGTCAAAGCTGTGGTGTTTCTGATATGCATTACGCACAATGTGAAGCACTGAAGCATGCTTTTTAATGCAGATATAACTGAGATCAGCAATGAGTTGACAAGAAATAGGTTTAATCAACAATTACTCAAATAGATATGCATACAGATGTTTTCAAAATAGGGAATTCACTTAAGGCTGTTTGCTTAATAACACAGGTACAAATCAAATAAGTTGTTGGAGATTTAAATTTAAATAAATTGAATATTCAAAATTATGTTTGGGATGTTATTCTTACAAAATAGATTTGATATTACATTTTAAAAAGTATTTGTAAGTTTCACAGTGTGATGGATAAATAATCTCTTTTTTTTTTTAGTGTAGCACAAAATGTTACTTCTGGCAAAGTGCCTGAGTTTGTGTGTGTAATTAGTATTCAATACTTCATCACAACACTTAAATGAATACACGCGTGTCTTTTCTTACCAATGGTGAGGTCGTGAACCGGCTGAAACCGCTTGTCTGTGAACTGTAGTAATAGACATGACTTTCCCACACCTACCAAAGGAAAAAAGGGGAGAGACATACATGAAAAGAAGGCATTTCAACAAGACCGAGCACATCAGTGTTTGTGGGCGACTTAAATACAGGCTTACAAATAAAATCCATGCATATTTAACAAGAGAACAAAGTTCAGATGAACTCAGCAGGGAGCTTATGCAGCTCCCTGCTACTGTTAACTGTTTACGTTGAGTGACCAGCTGGCTCCTTCCTACATGTGATACCACTGGTTTTTTCCCTAGTTGAAAGGGCACTAATGAATCTGCAGTGATAAACACCTTGCTACTCATGATTTCAGCTCCGAATGTTGCTTAAATACTTAAAAAAGATGAAAAAAAAAAAAAAAAAAAAAAAAAAAATCAATAAATGCCCATGTCAGGTCATTTATTCAATATGGTAAACTGTAGCGTTACAGATGTTAAACAGAAGTTGCAAACTGAGGCCTTTGAAGAAATTCTGATCCTGGTCAGTCGCTTTCAAAGACAGTATATTTTTTTTCTTCGACATACAACATCCCAAACAACTAAAAAGTAGTTATTCTTAAGACATTTCCATACAACATCTTGATAGCCGATATGCTGTGTGTAAGTTTAAGAGTCGATTTGTTTCAGCTTTTCAACCCAAGTTTCAATAAAAAATTGTCACGTTTTGGCCTATATAACCATTGAAAAAACATCAAGTTCACAGTATTAATACTGACAGCCACTCACAGCCCTCGCGGGTAAGACCATAAACTGATTGCTGAACAAGCTGGCTGTTCAGAGTGTCATAGCGTAGCATTTAAATAATGGAAAATTAAGTGGAAGGACAAAAATGAGGAGGAAAAACCAGGTACACAGGCAAAACAGATAATGAGAAATTTGAGAGTGAACCAAATTCAACTTCAGAAGGTGGACTTCAGGGTACTGAACTGAACTGACCCACGTTAGTTCTCACTACTTGCATCACCATTTTCCCAAGGTATACAAATCTTAGACACTATGATTTATATCATGGATGGGCTCAAAAGAATAATAAAGTCAATTCAACTCTGCAATTGTATTATTAGCATACAGAGATTTAGTACACAACTCCTGATATTCAAAATATCAGCATCCGAGAAAGGCCTTACGAATGCTATATCGCGTGCACTCGTTTTGGGTTCACGACTACAATTAAATATACTAACCAGCTCTACTAGAAAACAAGCATTATCTAAATTAAAAAGTGCAGAAGTGAAAAGATACCAAAAAAAAGGTGTGGATGAAGTGCTAATGAGATTGAAAAAGAGAGACACACAAGAAGGTGACAAAGCAACATGATGCGCCTCCTCTGTGGTTTCCAAGGATCGACGTTGCCAGGCAGTGGCGTTGCTAGGCAGGGACAGGGTGATGACAACAATAACGGACAGAGGGACCTAAATGAGGAGGCTTTGGTAAAAGTATAGTAATCATACCATCATCAGCTCTATCACACTTATATGGGGAGGTCTGTGGCTATTTGCACCCTTTCCTAGTAATGCTAAAATTATGGCAACAGAGAACTTTATTCTAAATTGTGCAACATCTTACCATGTTGTCACCATCCACAATGCTTATCAAACTATCCCAGCGCCCTTTCTGGCCAGGCAGCAACAACTTTGATGCCTATGCTGCAGAAAGTAAGGGCAAACTGTCTATAGCAGCCTGCAATCAAAGCCTGTCGGGCTACAACGGTGAAAGTGGTCACAATCACAGCAGCAATTAGTGGGAAACTAGGTAATGTTGCTATAAAAGCACCTTCATCGGGTACCAAGCTGTGGCAATGACACCTCATCACAGCTTACGGTGAAGATACTTTTAACTGTACCCACACAAACAAGAAAAATCTGAGAAAACACAGATAGAAAGGAAGGAGCAGTTTGGAAATTATATACTGGATCTTTACTGAGGTTTTTAGCTTAAAACAAGTATTATTACAACTGGACATATAGGAGGTAAGTCAAGAGCAGGTGAGGGAGGATTTGTTTACCCAATAAGAATGACAAGACATGGCCTGGTATCAAGGTATATAAAGATTTTTTTTAAAGTTAAAAGTTTTTAAAACTGTGAGAATGTTCTTGTGGTTTTCAGGGAACATGCCCACAAAATGTCAGGAGACCACTTTGTGTGTTAAAGCAGTTTAGCCCACAGGCACAGCTTGGAAATTGTAGCTAAACATCTGGAGATAAATACAAGATCGATAGAAAGGACTGAATTTTAAATAACTCTTAGAGATTCAGGGGGAAGTAATCTGCTGTAAGCCGGTAATTTTAAAACAAACTGCAGGAAAATGAGCCTGTTATTTTATGATGCTAATCCAGTATTTCATGATTGTAGAAGAACTGACATCTGATCTGATTTTTTCCCTTGTTCAAATGGCTGATCAAAAGCAAAACTAAACTCAGGAGTTTTGAACATGGCGTTCGCAATGTTTTGATTGGCTGCTGTCCGCGTGAGCCCGCTTTCAGCTCCTGAGGAGAACAGGTTATGTCCTCTGGTCAAGGAGCAAACTGGTGGTGGGATAGGAATGGATTTTTTTTAGTGCGTAGACCAAAGTCTGGGCAGTGGAAACACAAAGAACTGGTGCTTAGTAAAGCCTAGCAATAGTTAAGCGCTGGAATCGGCATCGTGGAGAAGATCCTGAAGAGAATCTTTGGTTTAAGAGTCTCCATCAACCGATGGCAAAATATCACATAGCATGTATGTGGCAAAGTGAAGTAAACCACAAATTCATTCTTCACTCAGGGACACCGCTAACATGTTTTTCCAGTTTCTGAAACAGACTTTAACTGTAGTCATAGCAACTAGTTCTTTATGACCAATATCCTTACAAGCTGTCCAAACGCATAGAGTAAAATTTAGACACAATTACTCTATTTGTGGGTATTCGCAAACTGAGACGTTTATAACTTAAATAAAAGATGTTCCATTTAGAAGAAATTACACTACAGACACTAGAGTTTTCAGCTGAAATAAAATGCTTATATTCAGCAGATGTAACATTTCAGTGCCATCCAATATGAATGTTAGAAGGCTAATTTGTGTTAAACACAAAGTGCAGCAGTGGCTGACTGATGTCATACACAAAAGAAAATGAAAGAAGCTGGATGATTAATAGGAGTATTATTAATCATCCAGTTTATTTCAGATAAACTAACTGAGCTGCAGCCCGACAACAAGAGGAATTTTAAATTAATTTACAGAACACATAATATTTGATGAGGCCCCACAGCTTGACAGGTAAAAACAACAAGCTTTGATTTTCTATTAAATGAAAAAGGTGCATCAAAAGTGGATGCATTTGGCTGGATGTGTCAGTTTTCAACCGACCTATGTGCTGCTGCTGCTCTGCTAAGTAACCTGAAGCTTAGCAAGGTCAGCAGACTGCATCCCAATCCCTGCTGAGGAGTCAGTCCACATAACCCGTCCTCACGTTTGAGCGTGAACCGAAGACGTCCTTCAGCACGTTTGAAACACCAAATTGGTTCTTAAAACAAAAACGACTCGGGAGATTACCGGGGTCTGATTCTAGTTTTAAACGAGGGATTTACTCTCAACTGTCATATTCTCTGATGAAATTATCCTAAATTCCTCCTGATTTACAGGCCGGCCCATTAGAGACCGCAGTGCAAGTCAAATCACATGACAGCTGTGAACCACAGGGATGACTCAGTTAAAATTCCACTTCTTGACAGTGAGCTACTTCCCTTTGGAAAATGACATCTTGCTAAACGGAGCTTAAAAATAGTCCTGAACAACATTAGAAGTCACACAGAAACATTTCCCCTACTTGGATGCATCTCCTTCCAATTTATACATTATTTAGTTTAGGTGATATTTTCTTATGAAAACAGTTTCAGCAAAAGATTGGCTATGAGTAGTCCTGCACATTCTTATCTAAGAAAGAAGTACTGTTAGGTTATAGAAACCTAATCCTAGCCACATGTACAGTTAGGCTCAAAATCATTCAGGTGTAATGTAATCTTAATTTTTCAAACATTTCTAAATAGCACGATTAGAGTTCTGAACTGAATTTGATGAGAAATCTGTGAAGAAAGGCAAAGATTAGGGTGATGGCAAAGAGAGTTTCCATTGTTAAAGATCTGGAGGTCATAAGAAGTAATAAATCCCGAGGAAACCTGCAAAAGCAGTAAGAACGTACTGATTATCAAAAGTGCTTAATGAGTGAATGGTGGGGAATTCCTGTAAAGTCAAATTTAAAACATACAATGGTAGAAATTAAAGTGTTGCTGGAGATGCTTAAAAAAAATCCTTGTGATCAGATGCCAGAGAAAGCGAGTTTTCTTAGAACAGAATAATGCAATACCATCCCTCCCCCACCTGTTGCTGCCCAATGCTGGTCCAAAGAAGCTGTTTTACTTTCCACTTATTAACCAGCAAGACAAATTCAGTTTTTTTTTGTTTTGGGAATATTTTTGGTTGCGTAAAAACCCTGACAGTCAGGATGTGGAAACCGAAGGGTCTATAATTGTTACTGAGGTGAGGACCTTTGTGCCAATAACGTCTCTGGAAAGCCTGGCCTGAAAACCCGCAGCCATCCCACTTGGAACAGAATGCCTGTTTTTCCCTCTATAAGAGTTCAATCTATAATTATTTACTTCTGGATGTCCTCGTCGCTGCCTTATGTAACAGAGCAAAGTCTCTCGGCCACGCTGGATAGAGGCCCAACTTGTGTGTGATACACTAGGAACGGTATTTCTCCTCGTGCAGCTTGTTTGATGTTAACTACCAAACAAGAACAACAAGAGGAGGAAAAAGTGCTGTGAGGAAGGTTGCTAAATGCCTGTATGCACCACAAACCCAGGACAAAATGATGCTCCTTCCTGGCAGTGCTGATTAATAGATTTTACATTTCAGAAAACGTCTAAGGAAGTTGCTTCCTGTGTTTTAAAAAAAGAAGACTGACTGGCAGCGAGTCTGGCTCGTTCTCCTAATGACGTCTGCATATCAGAAAGAACTGGATGAATGAAGTGATGGAATTTGGTCAGCATTTCTAACTGATCCTGTTGGACAACATATGACACACAGTTTGTCTCACTGATGGCATGGGGCCGGTTAAGGCGAGACTGTAGCCTGAGGGACACCGAGGGAGTGACTGGAGACTTTGGCAGCTTTCTGTATTTCAGTGATCATTTAAATTTAACACAAAGTGATTTTTTTTCCCATCACAGACAGAAACACTCCACTCGCACATCTCTGATCTCTGTGGAGATGACGGGTGAAACAGAGAGTGTTAACTAATTTGTAAACTGATAAAACAAGATAAAACCCCAACGCGTTTTTATAAAATATAAACATTATGATGTAAAACAAATTGCGACAGCTGAGAATATTTCTAGAAAAATCAAAATATTCAAGTTAGGAGATTAGATCACTTTATTTAGTCACTGCAGGTAAATACATCTCACCTTGTTGGTATTATTAGCAAATAAATTTCATTTTTATTAAATAGCTGAAAATAAAAACAGCTCTACTGTTAAATCAAATGTTCTAAACAAATAATAAAAGCTAGGCTCTTGCTGTCCATTAATGAACTCTATTTTTAAGTGGCATGACTGCTGATCTCTTTATTCCTATTCACTATAATCAGGCACAGGGAGCTTTGTCTGTTTGGAAAATCAGAATACACACAGCAAGCCAGTTGGCAACTAGCATATCTCTTAAACAGCCATTTGCAAATTCACAAACAGGACAGATATTTAAACTATTTAATAAGGTAATATTAGTGTGTCATATTTGTATTACTCCATAAAGAGCAAGATTTCAAAGAGTTTAACATTCAAAGAGTTTAGAAATGTTACCTTTTGTGGTTTTCTATGCTTTTGAAGTCTAAGCATCAAAATCAAGATAAAAGTGTTATCTGCAACTCTACTAATCAATGTTAAATGATTTCAGCTGTTGCAAGAATACTTTTTGTTGTTGTCCTTTTCTTTGAAATGCAGCTAGTACTATCCATTTTTGTTTTAGCTTTGTCAGTTAATGTCATTTAACATTTTTAAACCAAGGCTGTCATACTGTGAGAATCTCATACTAACCTATTTAGATCTTCAACATTGTTTCGTGTTGGGATATGTTTTTTTTTTCTTCTTTTTTTAAAATAAGTGTTTACCAATTAAACCAATAAAACGCCACATGCAGGGAGCATGAAACTATTATTATTAGACAGTTCTGACCATCTCAATCACAGAAAGCCATAATGGGCTGTTAGCTAGTTAAAAATGCAAACTTGGCTCTCAAGAAACACTGTCAAAAAGAGTATATACTAGGAACAGGAAAGCAAAATAATATTTGGGCTTTTTTACTTCGATAAATTGCTCTTTTCATAAAAGAAAACCTGTTTCTGAAGATAAAACTCGGCAGCGAAAATATATCTTGGTCTGACAAACATGTAGTCAAGATGGGACCTTGGCAACAACTCACTGAAGCATTTATTACTAGAAATGACAAGAGCCAGCACAGCATGATGCTGTTTTGCAATAATCTTCAAGTAAACACGGTGTCCATCACCAGTCATCTAACTGGATAAAATTACAGCAGGGCCCTTTACATGTTTATAACTTATTTCAGTGTAGTTAAATTTGATTACTTTAATTTGACGCTGAAGTGGAAAAAGTACATGCTGAGCTGTCTAAAGTAAATCGTACTTTGAAGCTGCTACCAAACCAGTCAGTTTTCCCAACACCGTCTCATCTCTAAGGTACTGCAACATTTAACTTACGCAGCTAACTCAACAGCCCCCACCATTAGTAAACAGATGATGGGATTGTCTTCATAATTACGGGGTAACTAATTAGGATGAGCCACAACTTGAACAGTCTCGCAAAACAGAATCATCTTTTAATGAGAAAAACGAAGCTTCAATCATGAACAGAAATGTGATCAAAAACTAGAAGTGTCTCTACGCCATTTCAGTGGGTTTAGCTTTAGGCCTATGTGTCAATGCTAATTTTAACTGTTACCGGTGGTAAATGTAGAACAAAAATATACACTACAGTTTTTTTCTCGTCTGTTTTGAGATCCAATATGATGACAATTTGCTGTCGTGACAGCTGTTGCTGAACATTTACTAAAAGCTAAGCAGTTAGCGGGTATGCTAACACCCCCACCCTCGACGCAAACGGACAAAAGGCCAAACATCTGCCGGTGTAAACAACCACAACGGCACAGTGATGATGGGGAAAGCATGTGTTTACTTATCCGTCACTGTCAGTGTGTTTTTGATACATTCTGATATGTCAATAAGAGAGAATGAGAGCTGTCATACCACCCCTTGGGTCTCTGCTTTTACCACGTCATTGGACTATCCAACACTGCGGAAACACATCGCTAACTGGTAGCTAGGTGCTAACTGAGTGCTAACTGCAGCTTACCCGTGTCTCCGATGATGATGTATTTGAAGAGATACGCATACGCCATGGCCCCTGGTTGTGGCAGTCAGTTGTCTGAACCGTTACACCTTCGTAAAACCGAGCGAGAGCCGTGTGAAAAGAGAGGCTGATAGCTTGTTAGCCTGTTTTTTTCTGTATCGGTGCTCAGGAAGGAACAATAAACAGCCAGAGCCTCGGCTCAACGTCACACGGTCCGCCCTCGCCACGCTACAAAATGATATGTTCAAGGTATCCTCGGAAACGTCACGATGTGTTTCAATGCATCCTACAAAGTTGATATTCAAGAATCAGACAACATTCAACAATTCATCTCTTCTTAGTCTGCTTAAATATATACACCAGAATTCTGAATTTTGTGTTATTGTCTAAAGTAAAGTTTAACTGTTGTTATAAAATAGTAAATAGATTTGTAAAACAGTGACGCCTCTTTGGCACCATTTACGGGTTGCTATGGTAACTAAATCAAGAAAAAATTGTTTCAATGCATTTTTTTTCTCCTTCTAAATAATATTTTCTCTTGTGTCAGAGACGTTTCTGTTCTATTTTGAGAGCCACTCAGTCCATATCCAAAACATTTTATATGAATGTGAATATAAGAGAGAATACTCAGTTTAACTGTTTATTATGACTTTCCCCACTTTGTTTACAGTCGTGCAAAAAAATTGAATGTCCTACTCCGTTACATTTCATGACAGCATAAGATAAGGATTATTGAGCATATTTTGGTTTGTTGTTTGTTGTGTCAAACCTTTTGAAAACGTTCTGGAAACACCCCTGGAACTAAACCTTATTTGCATCTGAAAGGTTTGAGATTTGTGTGATGGAAAGTTTAATCCCAAAATTAAAACATAGTGAAATGTAAAAACATAGAGAAACCAAAGCAAAACCGGGCCTTTTTGAATTTACAATTCAAAGTTTTTGGAGATCTCCAGCTCTTTAACACCCTTAAATGAAAATTCTGCCAAACTATTTTTTGTGGGAAAAGCTTCAACAGATAAAGGTTGACCCCCACTATGGTAGCCTACCATTTTTCTGAGCTCCCTAAAACATATTAAAGAATGATTTAGTGAAATACAAACTCATGTATATATTGGAATTAACTGATTTTTCAATCAGGTTCTAGTATAATTTTGTAAATAAAGACCTCTTTTCATAGTTTTTATCATGTGAATGCTTCCTGAATTTTTCCAGATTGTTGTGTCAGGGCTAGATGAGCGAAATATTGAAAACTGAAGCCTTGGGGGTCAATCAAAACCCATTCAAATTACTTATGAATTATGTACTTCTCCTATGGCAGCCTACACATCGGACAGGAAGAAAGCAGAAGAAAGAGGGAAACAAGAAAAAGAAGTGTGTTTTTCAAACAAACTTGTTTGCATAATTTTACAATTAAATAAATACTTTATGCTCTTTGTATTTAAAAGAAATATTGATTTACATCTAATTCCACTTGATGGCAGCATGGAGCAACTGTGCCTTCATGATCCATGCAAAAATTTACAGCCCTTTCATGAGCAGACCGCTTTATAGACATAAGAAAGAAGGTCAGATTTATAACACATTTTTAGTGTGTCTTTAGTCTACTGCAATATACTTATTTTAGGTTATTTTCCACATCTTAAGTTCAAAGATTTCTATGTGCTCATGGTACCGTTTACAGGTCAGGCTCAATCTACACTTTTCATACAATGAGCAGGAAAAAAAATGCAATCTAACAAAAATAATAGAAATTACTCAAAGTCTTTCTTAAAAACATATGTTTTTTTTTTCTTTTACAGAAACTGGTAAAAGGTATAGATACATCCTTATTCCTTTCAAATCACTGTGTTGTATCAAGATATGTGGAGAAAGAGGCAGAAAGGGGTGGCAGCTGGTCAGACGCTACACACCATAATCAGACCAAAAGCTCCATGGTAACTCTTCTGCTGGCTACAAAATTTAATTAATTCCACATCGGACTGAATTTTTCCTGCTGAAGTAGAGCATCGCTCATCAGGGGATTCGGTCTTTTTTTATTTTTTTATTTATCATTAAAACCCACTGATTTAAACCCTTTATAACAGACATTGTCTGTCATGAGGATTTTTTTTTTTTACATCTGTGTGCCAAGTGTGCACAAATATTACATGAAAGAAAGAACAGCGAGAAATCAAAATACTTATTTTACTTGTGTTTTTTGTTTTTGTATGTACATATCAGATCTGTTTTCTTATCTTATTTTTATTATATTTTTGTCTTACTGTAGATTACATACAAATACCGAATTAAGTCTTGAAAAGTAGTTTGAATTCTTTTTTTTTTTTTTTTTAAATTAGAGCAGTTTTAAAATCTGTAAAATGCTGCCTATGAACTGGAAGGAATATGGTTGACTTTCCATAAATTGATCGGGTAGCTTTTAGTTTTAATTTATTCATTTTAAAACTTTCATTCTGTTAATTAGCCAGCAGGGGGAGACTTCTTCAGTTGTTAAAATATTTGATTCGGTATAGAGGTCACAAACTTATATGCATATTGCTTCACACTTCCTCTGTGTGGCAATAAATATCCATGTTATATATATATAAAAAACAATCTTCTTAGGCTTTTTTCTAGCTTGATGTTCAGTTTGCAAATCAATGTCATATTTTGGGGCCACCCAGCCAGAGTCCTGATTTGCATCTGATCATCAAAGAAATTGTAGACTATAGGGTGATGGTGAGGATGCCTTCCAGCTTCAACTACTTTAAGCTCTCAAGCTCCAAAACTAAATATACCAACAAAAACATGCAAAAATCTGATCAACAATGATAAGAAGGGTATGATTACTGTAATGCAATCCTCTCCTGTGGATTATTGAGAAAGTTGATGTCATTTTTAAATTACTCCAAATAAAAACAATGACTTTTTTTTTTAATAGACATATTTAATACCCCTTTACATTGTTTTATTATTGTGGTGGAAAATGCTTATGTTTGTCTGTGCGACATAAGTGCCAACAGTCAATAGACAGTATGTTGTCATTGTGACCTTTTAACGCGTTAGATAACGCTGAGTAGTTTGTGATTGAATCAAAGAACACAGCGTATGCTTAGAGGAGCAAACAAAGAGGAAGAGAACGCTGCTAAAGAAACTGTTTTGGTTTGAGCTGTCAGAGCAGACAGGATAGATTTTAAATCACACAGGCTGTGAGTTTCACATTGATGTGTATCGGGGATTTTGTGACTGTGTGACCCTTCAATTGTTCAGAGCGGTGCTCAGAGTGCCTGGCTGCAATGAAAAATAAATACATGCTTCAAAATGCCAAGGGTATTAATAGCTTTTATTTTTTTAAGCATATATTAAAACCCTACATATTTAAACATAATGTGGGGCTGAAGACACGTTCAGTCAGGGTGCAGTTTTGGACTCCAAGCTCTGTTTTTAGATCTACTGTATGGAAACCAGGGAGCTTGCCTTCATTTCAATAGCTCCAAGGACAGGCTTCCATATAAAGAATGTAGGGTAATTAACATCATCAGCCTGCAGGATGTGGATTGGAAAAGAAAGAAGAGGAGAAAAGAACAAGCGGGACAGTCAACTTTTTACATTTCTGAAAACAACAGCAAGGAAAAGTACAACTCCCCATTTCTGTTTTCTTCCTGTAAATTTAATACGGTGGACATCGGGGAGCCTGAGATGTCATTTGCTACCCCTGCCAAAACTGGGTGTGGGTTATTGGGAATTCGGGGTTTTTTTTATGTCCATCTTGAAGTCATCAGGGTTGGAGAACAGTCGGGCCTTTTATTCTGTACATTCTGCCGCTTTTTGTCTATTTTTCTTTACTGTTGCCGTTTCCTTCACCCAGGGGTGTGTGTGTGTGTGTGTGTGTGTGTGTGTGTGTGTGCGTGTGTGTGTGTGTGTGTGTGTGTGTGTGTGTGTGTGTGTGTGTGTGGCCTCCAAGAGAAACACCGGCATGACCTTCCTGCCTGCATTCCGACATGCAGACATACAAAATACCACCAGGAGACCCCAAACAGCAGTAAGGTTAAAGCAATACAACACACAATGCTGGACTGCATGGCTTGAAACAATGGGTTACATTTGCTTCCCATTAAAGATGCACTTTTGTGCCTTTATGTAGAGGAAAGCCACAGTGGTCAGGCACACCTGCAGAGAACCAGAGAGAGAAAGAAAAAAATAAAGAAATGGTAGAAGAGATACAGATAGCAGCAGCGCAAAAAGAGAGAGGGTAGGAGAGAGAGAGAGACAGAGAGAGAGAGGAGGAGGAGCACAGAGGAAAGAGAAACAGGCTGACTGCTCCACTCTCATCCATTAGTGGCTTTGTGGACAACAACTAAAGAGAGGGAAGAAGGAGGATTACAGACTTTTAAGAATAACAAAGAGGATAGCAGCCAACTTAAAGACAAAGTTATAAGGAAGAAGAAGAAAAAAAAGAAAGTTAATACACTTGAAGGAATCTTCCCAGCAGGCTTGAGAGACTTAACTTTGTCTGCAAGTGAATGAACTTAAACCGGCGTGCCTGAGAGAGCCGGGAACACGGATCTGTTTCTACCCAAAGCGAAGGAGCTGGAAGGCACCATGGCCGACAACGTGAACGAGGAGTCAGACTATGTCCCTGGGAAAGATGAGCTGGACTGGGGCTACGAGGAAGGTAGGCTGCTCTCTGCGTTCACATGAGGGGATGCTGAGAGTCAGAGTCTAGAGGGGAGGGGGCGGAGGGGCGACAAGGTGGAGCCTAAATCATGTTCCAGAAGACTGAAAAGTTTCCATTTACTTTTATCTTGCCGATTTTTAGGTGAAGATGTTGCCTTCATGTATGCTTGGAATAAATTCAAATTGAAGTTTGCACTGCCTCTGCAACATTGCTTGTTGTAAAATAGCTAGGCCCCTCAGCTACATTGTGTCTGAGGTTAGTCACTACGTTTAGCTGAAGAAGATGAGAAATTTGAGACTTTTTTTCAACTTTTCCTACAGAGCTGGGAGTGTCTTAGCAAAAATGATTCACATCTCTTTGAACTTCTCCACATTCTATGACGTTACAACCACAAACTATAACATAGTCGTGCACAAATCATTGTATAATTGACAATAAAATCTGAAAAGTGTGGAATGCATTTGTATTCAACTCTCTCTAATCCGATACCCCTAAATACAACCGGGACAACTATAGATATTGCATGAGATGCTGAAAAGTATTATTCACATGCACTCCGTACAATTTGTTTGAACTTGAGGTATTCTGCAAAAAATCATTTGCAAAAATGTAACTCTGGATATGCAAAGTCAGAAGAGACATTTCCCAAACAACTTGCAAGAAGTATCAGCTCACAGGGGCTGACTACAAAAGCACACAGCGCTTTAAATGTTGCTTAAATTATTTTTGTTTTTGAAAGCCATCACTTTCCTTCCACCTCATAAATTTGTGCTACTTTGTGTTAGTCAAAAAAACAACAAAAAAACAACAACAAAAAATCTCAACATTCCAATAATCTGCACTAAGGTTTGCAGTTGTAACATAATGGCAAGTGAAAAAGTTCAAGGTGTATGCATGGTTTTGCAAGCTACTGTAGCTCTGATCGAACCGTTCTGTATCGTTAAAGGAAATGTGGACGTTTTTACATAATTGCTACCAACTTGATTCCTAGTTTGAAACAGTCATTTTAGTAAAGTTTGCAGAAAAGCAAACCGTCACTCAACTATTCTTGTCTTGTTTCACTTTGTCTTCCTTCTTTTGTTGCTTTTACTGAGCATCCAAGGATGAGCTATGATGCAATTCTGTGACTGTTCCTGTAAGTATGACCAGTGATGCGAAGCACTTTCAATGCATGGATTAGATGTGACTGTTTGACAAGGAAATACCTCAAGAATCCTGTATGAACCCATTAAACTTCATGCTTTCACATTATGGGTTAATTGGTAATAAAGAACTGGGTAACACTTTATTTGAAGGGGGGTGAATAAGACTGACATGACACTGTCATAAACACCTGTCATGAACATGAATA